CCTGCCTCCTGTTTGAATGATGCTCCTGCCTCCTGTTTGAATGATGCTCCTGCCTCCTGTTTGAATGATGCTCCTGCCTCCTGTTTGAATGATGCTCCTGCCTCCTGTTTGAATGATGCTCCTGCCTCCTGTTTGAACACATTGAAGTTTGAAAATCGCTAATGGGAATCTTCATATTTCTATTGTATGCTTTTTTTTTTGTCCTTGTTGAACAGAAACTCATTATTTTCATATTAGATGAATATATTTCACTTTAGACGACGGGAATCTTAATAACTAATTAATGCTGTTAATAATGGCTTACTGAAAAATTGGTTGAAAAAAAATTTCGTCGTCCGAAAATTGATCGACAGAAATTTGATCGAACGGAAATTTGGTCCAATTCTTTTTTTCAGTTTACACGATCTAATTTTGGCCCATATTTCTTTTTGAACGCATTACTTTGTTTGACTATATAGTATAGTGGGTTGAAAAAAAAATTTGACGAAAATTTTAACGTGTGGACTGAAAAAAAATTTTCGACCAAATTTCCGTTCGATAAAATTTTCATTGATTAATTTACCGTCGACGAAATTCATCTCGATCAAATTTCCCGGTAACCTTCAGTAGTATGTTTACTGATGACATTGCAAAGCTACGGGAAGAATTTGATCACATGTTTTTTAGACTTAAAAACAGACAGAGTAACTTTCAACTTTTTGCTTACCATTTCTCCTTCAATTTGGTAGATGCAAACCCCCCCCCCCACACCACCTTACTTGCGCTTCAAAAGTTGCTAATCTTCGGTGTGATTCTAACTTCAAGGAGGTGAATGGAAAAAAAACAGACAAGCATGGATAATTTATGAGAATTTTAAACCTAAAAACAAACAGAGTAACTTTCAACTTTTTGCTTACCATTTCCCCTTCAATTTGGTAGATGCAAACCCCCCCCCCCCACACCACCTTACTTGCGCTTCAAAAGTTGCTAATCTTCGGTGTGATTCTAACTTCAAGGAGGTGAATGGAAAAAAAACAGACAAGCATGGATAATTTATGAGAGCATTGCCCTCTACCCTGAGATGTCCAGGTTGTTCAAGCTGATCATGTGCTTTTATTTTTAGGAATACCTATATCTCTGTGGAAAGCTCTTTTTCATTACGAACTTTAACAAGACAAGTTCAGGGCTAAATTTACCGATGAACATCTTCAAGCCATACTGAGGGTCTCAGAAGCTTCCTCACTCCAGCCAAATGTCGCTCAGCTGTCTGAGAAGAAGCGCTCCATCACACCCTGGCCGGCTAAACACGGTCGGCAGGGACCCAATTTTTTGCGGTCAAAAAAATCAAAGATAAACTCTATTTCATTTAAAATTGCCACGTAGAACATCCGCACACTGCTTGACAGGGGACACTACAGACGGGCCTCAACGACTCACGGCGATCATTGCCCATGAACTTGCCAGATACAACATAGAGCCCATGAACTTGCCAGATACAACATAGAGTAGGTGGGTGGGGCGTGTCTTAAATACGTTGGTAACTATAGCGAAAAAAAAATACGAATACTGTTTGAAGAATAGAAAAGGTGGCACGGGGGGGGGGAATATGTTATAATCAAA